TATTAGATGTACCTGTCTTAAAACTGACATCATTGTTCCTCAGTAATATGGGGAGGTCCCTGATTCCAGACTTTCCCAGTGCAATATGTCTCCTAATCTCCTAACTGCTAGTAGCAACGGTGTTGATTGTGGATCCAAGTCAGAGGGAATTGTTGATAATTTTAATCTTTTCTCCATCTATCAAAATGTTGCCTATAATATCAGTGGGGAGAATTTTTGTATTATATAATAATGTATAATCTCCAAAAGAAACGTGTATAAATGTCCAAAAGGAGAAAGGGGAAGAGGGAAGACAGTGGAAAAGGGGAAGGGTGGAAATCACCATGATAATAGAGGTTAGTGGGCAGAGTAGAGGGAGGGGGAGGAATGGAAAAGATTCAGGTGGGACTTAAAAAGGTGATGTAATAGTGGATATAAATCTACAGTAATTAACTGTATATGGGATACAGTGTATATGAATGACTGTATGAAACACAATGTAAATGAAGACTTATATGGTGCACACGTTTTCTCTTTGTTTTGGCTTCTCTAGGCTACCCTACAATATTTAGAGTTTCTTCTGACATGCATTTCGGGGGGTTTTTCCTTTCTTCCCTGTCTCTGTAATGACCTTTTGTTTTCTTCATCTGGTCTTTGATCATTGGTGTTAAATGCTTCAAATCTACTCCTTTGTTTTTTTTAACATTACTCTGATTTATTTACAAAGTTTGAATACATTGTTTTTCACAAAAGACCCTTCCCATTTCCTTCACCCCTTGTACCCACTGAACTGTGGAACCCTATTATTAACACATTCCCCCCCAATATTCTTAAGATGATCTTGACATTCATAAGGAGCACATTCAAAATATTATTTTGGTTCTTGTGGACTTATTTTAACTTGTTTGGCTTTAATTTGAACTTGCACATGAGTAACTGCTGGTCTGACACCCTGTCCGCTCTGGCCTAGTTTTGACTACCAGTATTGAGCTTCTCCAACCATTTCTTCCACAGACATAGTCAATCTCATTTCTATGTAGTATATCAGAAGAGGCCCATGTGTAAAGTGGTTGTTTTTGTCTTTAAAAAAAAGGTATTTGCAATGAAAAAAATCATTGAAAATACAAAATTCCTTCATTCTATTTCCAGAGTCACTTCTGTCACCAAGCCCCCATTTTCCAACTACTATTCTTACTATAGAAGCTTGACTCTATGAAGAGGAGTCTGGCAACAGGATCAGAGGAAGACTCATCAATAACCTGCATTATATAGATGACACAACCTTGCTTGCTGAAAGTGAGGACGATTTAAAACACTTTTTGCAGAAAATCAAAGAATACAGCTTTTATTATGGATTACAGTTCAAAGTTGGGAAGCAAAGATTCATAAGCTGGACCAACAGGCAATATCAACATGGATGGAGAAAGACTTAAAACTGTCAACAACTTCATCTTACTTGGATCCACAATTAATACCCTTGGTACCAGCAGTCAGGAAATCAGGAGACATTTGCACTGGGAAACTCTGCAGTTAGGGACCTCTCCAAATTACTGAGGAGCAATGATGTCACTTTGAGGATTCGACTGTGTCTGATTTAGGCCATACATAGTCTTTCAGACCACTTTTTATACATCTGAGAGCTAGACAATAAATAATAAGGATGACGGAAGAATAATTGATGCCTTTGAGCTGTGGTGGTAGAGAACACCAAACATTCCACGGACAGCCAAGAGAACAAACAGATATGTCTTGGAGAGGGTGCAGCCAGAGTGTTCTTTGGAGGCAATGATGATGAGGCTTCACTTTACATACTTCAGGAATGTTGCTAGGAGGGGCTATTCTTGGGAGAGGCACACGATGCTCAGAAAGGTGGAGGGTTGGTAAAGAAAAAGAAACCCTCAATCAGGTGAACTAATGTCCTGACTGCCACAATGGATTCTAATGTGTCAGGAAGTGTGAGGATGACATGGAACAGGACAGGGTTCAGATCTGTTGTTTATAGGGTCGTACTTGACTCAATGGAACCTAACAACAACAACAACAAGAAGGAACAGAATGTATATGAAGCACAATATAAGTGAACTCGTTCATGAAAGCCAGTAAAAAAAATGTATCTCTAATTGTCAATATTCCAAAATTGAATCATCTCTTAATGTCAAATTTCCAGTTATTCCTCTGAAATTGTCACATATTTTCCTCTGGCTGATCACCAGCTAAGGCAGTATCTGACAATTATGGGTAGTGTGTGTAGGGAGTAAAAAAATTAGTATCTATATACTTGAATCATACTAAACAATGCATCCCAAAACTGGTCTTCAATTAATAGTGTTCAAGCAGCTGGACTACAATGAGATCAAAGACAATAGCCTTCAATATGGGCTACATCTCAGTATGTTGTTGTTGTTATGTGCCATCGAGTCGTTTCCGACTCATAGCGACCCTATGCACAACAGCTCTAAACCCTGCTCTATCCTGCGCCAACCGCACCGCCTCTGACACACCCATCCCGATTACCCCAGTCACCGAATCAATCCATCTCATAGAGGGTCTTCCCCTCCTGCGCTGTCCCTCTCCAAGGACCCGTCCCTCCTGGCAACATGTCCAAAGTATGTCAGACGAAGCCCCAGAATCCTTGCCTCCAAGGAGCAGCTTGGTTTAATCCTCTCCAAGATGAATCTGTTTGTTTTCCTGGCAGTCCATGGTACATTCAGTACCCTTCTCCAGCACCACAGCTCAAAAGCATCCACTCTCCTTCTGTCCTCCCTAGTCATTGTCCAACTCTCTGATGCATAACAAGCGATTGCAAATACCATGACCTGTATCAGGCGCACCTTAGTCTCCAGAGAGACACTGTTGCTCCTGAGTACCTTTGAGAGGTCCCTAACGGCAGACTTTCCCATCACGATACGCTTTTTGATTTCCTGACTGCTGGTACCAAGAGTGTTGACTGTGGAGCCGAGCAAAGTGAAGCTGTGAACACTCTCAATCTCTTCGTCATCCATCCTGACGCTGCCAATTGGTCCAGTGGCGAGAATCTTTGTCTTCTTGACGTTGAGCCTTAGTCCATACTGAAGGCTGCAGTCCTTGACCCTTCACAGCAAGTGCATGAGGTCCTCCTCAGTTTCAGCAAGCAAGGTTGTGTCATCTGCAGCAAGCCCTCGGAAGCTCTGACATCTCAATATAAGAAAACAAAAAATCCCAGCCACTGGGTCAATAGGCAACATCATGATAGATGGAGAAGGCACAGAAATTATCAATGATTTTATCTTACTTTGATTCACAATCAACACCCTTGGCACCAGCAGCCAAGAAATCAAAAGATGTACTGCATTTGGAAGGTCAGGACCTCTTCAATGCACTAAAGAACAATCTGAAGACTATCTTGTTGTTGTTAAGTGCGTCAAGTCGTATGCGACTCACAGCAACCCTATGAACTAAAGTCCTCAACACTTGTGTGACTTTCATCCTTTCTCCAGGTTCATCGGGTTTCCGGAGGCACGCTATTATGGAAGTGGATGCCATTCCTGCTTTTAAGAAGACTATCTTAGATGGAGATTAAAATTTAAAGGACCTGTGTAAAAAAGTAAAATCTCAGAAAAGTCAAAATTATCTACAATGCCTATAAAACAATACTGAATCATTTTTCGATTTAAAGACTAAGGTGCACCTGATCCAAGCCATGATCTGCATCTGAAAGTTGGACAACAAATAATAATGACAAAAGAACTGATGCCTTTAGTACTGAATATCCCACGGACTGCCAAAGACAACCTAGCATGTCCTGGAAAAGGCGCAGCCAGTGTGGTCCTTGAGGCAAGGATGGTGAAACTTTATCCTGGGCATGTTGTTAGGAGAAGCCAGTATTTGGAAAACACCATCATGGTTGGAAAGGTGCAGGGTCAGCTAAAGGGGGGGGAAGCCTTCAACAAAATGGATTGACACTGTGACTGTAACACTGGTCTCAAGTGGGTGAGAGATGAAAGATGAGCATGGCACAGGGGAGGGGGGATTCGGATTCATTGTTCATAGGGTCACTATGAGTTGTAGTCAACTCCACAGTACTTAACAACAATAGCAAAAAATAAGGCATCAGGCTTAGGAAAGTTAAAATTCAACAACTCAGTTTATTGTCATTGAGTCGAAACTGACTCATAGCTGACCCTCCAGTGGGCTTTAAAGATGGTAAATTGCACAGGAGACTGCACATCATTCTGCAGCAGAACAACTGGTAGATTTGACGCACCAATGGTATATGGCCTTTGGGTAAGCAGGGTAACACTCTAAAGACTGACTATACAATCAGTTCCTTTGGGAAAGGGACAGCAAAAAAAGTCAAATGGCCGCAACAAAGGGCTAAAACACAGCAGAGATTTTAAAAATGGTTCAGGACCAGGCAGTGTTTCATTCTCTTGTGTCTAAGATCACTGAGTTGGAGGTGACTTGATGGTAACTAAAAACAGCAAAAAATGGCTTGACTGACAACCTAGGAAAGCAGCACACAGGAACCTACAGCAGATTTAGGTTTTCCATGTCACATTCACCCCAGAACACATAATCCCTGTGTGGAATCACTAGTATAAGTTAAATTAACTTTCTCCTGCCTTTTTATTTTTTTTTCTTTGCAGCATTCAATACCTGAATTTGTGTAAGGTAAATGCTGAGTAATATTACAACCTTACTGAAAAAAGTTAGGCTGAAAATATTCATGAGAAATTAATATAGACAATGTATACAAATTTTAAATATGTATCTTAAGTTAGAAGACATGCTGGCTTTACTATGTGTCCTTAAAAAAAGATTACAAGACTCTTTCTAAGCCTACTTTTCATTGACAAAATGAAATCCACTTTATAAGATAATAGTAAGCACTAAATTAAATAATATACAAAAGTGTTAGATACAAGGTTTATATATACATAAACAGCCACAAATCACAAGTCAAACCACAGAACTTAACAAGTAGTAGTATTCTAAACTAAAACTGCAACTAGCATTGTGCTAATAGTGTAGTAACATCTTACCTGTAAAAATTTTTTCACATCAGCAATAATTTCTCTGAAGACAAACTGGTCTTTCTGAACCTCAAACCATCCCAATTTAGTGATTTTAGCAATGACTTGGACAAGAGCTAGGATGACAAAGGGAGCCAGCTTGGGTTGTGATGCCACATAATTCAGAATGTAGTTTCCTATAAAGAAAATACTTTGTGACCATTTGGACATTTCAGTAACATAATGCAAGTCACGTAAAGATAATGAGAAGTTGATAATATTCTTTTTGTCAAAAAAGTTCATTCCCAAAAATATGTATCTATTTTTATACTTAGTTATGCTACAAGGCTTGATTTGAAAATGCAAATTTGTTCCAATGCAATCAGTGTATTAAGAGATAATCTGAATACAAGAATGTCACTTTTGTTTCTATATGATTTTATACATATACACATAGAGCCAGGTAAACAGAAAAAACAGCAACCAGGCCAACTACACCAAGTCATGTAAGAATACACAAAATGCATATACCTCCCAGCATTTATCAGCTATTTCAATTCACACCATGTGTTAGGTCATTCATCCTCAATCAGTTATTATAATTTCTCATCTCATTTCAGTTAATTTTCCTTCCTCCACTTTATATATAAATAACTCACAAGCTGTGCCTCCTCTTCTGAAGTCCATATTGACAAACTCTGGGTCTTTTTCAAGATAAAGTACTGCATTTACTATAGTACTTAAAAATTTCAGTATTTACTATATATAAACTTGTACTACAATTTCTGTCCTTCCCCCTCAAAAGTTGCTTATATAACCCCATTTTTCTCCTAAGTGTATGCCTTTACATAGCAATTATTTTAAAAAACACCTACGTCATGTCTTAGCAAAATTATGGATTATAAAAATGCAAACATAGTAAAAGAACTAAATAAATGCAGAACTCAAAAGAAAGAAAAAATGAAAAAGTTACATATGAAGTAAAATTAAAACATCAACATTATCAAAGATCAGCAGCAATTTTAACTCAGAGCTCCTAGTGGACTGAGTACCTGAAAGGAGGCTAACAAGCATGCCACAAAATCTACCAGAAAAATTACAAAACGTAAAAAGGAAACCAAAGATTCAATTTCTACAGTGATCCCAAAGGCTAGCATGCTTTTTGGGAAAATAGTAAATGAAAGGAAGTAAAATGAAATATTTAAATATTATTAAAACTAAAATATTTTTATAGAAACCATACCATAATTAAACATTTACAAATTATGAGCCACTACTTACACTGACAGAACTACCACACAAATTACGAGAAAAGAAAATATAAAGAACAAAAAGAAACCACCACAGGATACAAAAGACAGGATTTATGTGGTAAGGATAAGGAGAAACGGAAAGCTTCATACATGGCTACTGATGAGAATGCAAAATGGTATCATCACTTTGGAAAACTGTTTGGCAGTTTTTTAAAAAGTACATCAAAAACCGACTGGTACATCAACAGAGAACCACCAGAAATACAAGCTGGGTTTCGAAGAGGCTGTGGCACTAGTCATCACCAATGTCAGATGGATCTTGCCCAAAAGCACAGAGTACCAGAGGATTGTCTATCTATATTGCATTGATTATGCAAAGGCATTTTACTATGTAGATTGCAATAAAGTGTAGCTAACCTTGAGAAGAACAGGAATCCAGAACACTTGATTGTGTTCATATAAAACCTGTAACTGGACCACGAAGCAGTCATCAGAACAGAGCAAGGAAACACTGCATGGTTCAAAATCAGGAAGGATGTACCTTTTTCTATCTCCATACCTTTTCAAACTGTATGCAGAACAGATCATTCACAAGGCTGGACTTTACAAAGAGGAATGTGGCGTCAGGAATTGGAGGAAGATTCATCAACATGCTACGTTAAGTAGATGACACAACCTTGCTTGCTGAAAATGAGGAGGACCTCAGAGTTTGCTACAGTGGGTCAAGAATTGCAGTCTTCAATATGGATTGAAACTCAACATCAAGAAAACAAAGATTCTCATCCCTGGACCAATTGGTAGCACTATGATAGATAGAGAAGGGATTGAAATCATTAACAATTTCATCTTGCTTTGGTCCACAACCAACACTCTTGGCACCAGCAGTCAAAAATTCAAAAGACTAATTACATTAGGAAAATCTGTTGTCAGATTTCTCTAGAGTACTGAGAAGCAACGATATCAGTCTAGACACTAAGCCCCTAAGGTGCGCCTGTTCCGGGCCATGGTCTTCGCAAATTGCTTGCTACTCATCAGAGAGCTGGACAATGACTAAAGATGACAGAAGCAGCAGCAATGCCTTTGAGTTGTGGTGCTGAAGAAAAGTACCGAACATAACATGGACTGCCAAGACAACAATCAGGTCTGCCCTATATAAGGTGAAACCAAGTTGCTCTTTGGAGATAAGAATTTTGAGGCTCTGTCTCACATACTTTGGGTATGTTGCCAGGAGGGATCAGTCCCTGGAGAAGAACAGCATGCTTGGAAGAGTAGAGCAATAGCACAGGCGAGGAAAACCCTGGATGAAATGGATTGACAGAGTAACTGGGGTAATGAGGGTAGATGTGTCAAAGAGAGTGAGGGTGGCTCAGAAAAGAGCAGTGTTCTGAGCTATTGTGCATAGGGTCTCTATGAGTTGTAGTCGACATGGCAGCACATAACAACAATATATAAATTTACCTTATGATCCACCAACTGCACACCCTCCTAGGTATCTACTCAAGAGAAATGAAAATACATATCCACACAAAGACCTGTATGTTAAATGTTCAAATTACCATTATTCATATTTGTTAAAAGGTAGACAATGGAGTACTTACTCAACAATAAAAAGAAACAAAACAGTGGGACATGCTACAGTACGGAGAAACCTCAAAAACTTTGTGCTAAGTGAAAGAAGTCAGATACAAAAGCCTAAGAATTGGCAGGGGGAGGGGGAAGACTACATGTCGTATGATTTCTTTTATATGACATAGCAACAAAAGGTGACTATATAAAAGCATGTTAAGAGCTGGTGGGGGTGGGAACAGGACTGATTATAATGAGTACAGGAATCTTTTTGGAGAGATGAAAATGTTCTAATACTGGACTGTGCTGGTGTTTTCACCAAAATCATTAACTGTATTTTTAAAACAAGTGAACGTAACAATTGACAAGGAAAGGAAGGAGAGAAGGATTCATAGATTTATGTAGGTAAGTAAATGTAAGCTATAATTTTCTTTGAACAGAAGATACACTCCAGGATACAGAACAGTATAAAAAGGCACAGAGGTAGAAATTAAGTGCAAACACCGTCTGGCACAACTACTGGGCCAGCACTAACAAACATCAGCCTAACTAAGTCAAGTTGGTCTCTCAAAACCAAGCTCCTAAAAGTACTTCAATACTCAGGGGAGAAAATGGTACCTAACTGACGAGTAACACATAGCTATTAGGTTAAGTCAAGCAGAATGTAGTACAGTTGACAAAGGAACTGGCAATACAGTTTATGCAGTCACACAATTAAATACAAAGACTTGAATCATATCATGAAGGACTGAGGACTTGACGTGATAAAATATGACTGCTGAGACATTTTCCATTTTAACTGGGATGTAAATTATTCTATTCACACATGTCAGGTAAACATAATACACACTAACAAATAGGCTAAACTATGGAAACAGAGTAGTAAGATAAACCAAAGAATTCATAAAATAGCTCTATCTCTTCTTGTTTAAGATGTTTTGCAATATTTTGTTGTTATTACAGCACACTAATTTAGTGTCTTGATCAGAAATCAGAGGTTCAAACCACATTATACATAGACAGTATGAAATGGGAATATTAACTGAAGGCCCTTTCTTTGGCTGTAACCTGTATCTACAGATGTTTTACTTTTCTCTAATTTATTTTAACGAATATTTTTAAGTACTCATTTTAAAAAATAAATCAAGTAAAAAACAAAACTGCATTATCTTATCACTCAGATTTGAAATGTCAAAAAATTTTTTTCCTCCTTTCTTAAAACATGTTAAGTCCAATGGATAAATCCTTTTACAAGTGTCTAAAACTTGAGATTAAATATATGATCAAACAAGATTGATCACTGTGATTTTGGCCATTCACAAATTGAGCTTTAATGTCTACTGCAGAGAGTACCTTCTAATTTTTCATGCACAAATATAAATTACATTAACTTTCAAGTCAGAAAGCAGAAATGGGTTAGACTAAATATTTTTTCTAATATGAACAGAACTCTTGACTCATTGCTGCTGCACTGGAACTGATGCATAGCTGACCCTCCAGCAGGTTTTCAGAGGCTGTAAATCACGTGGAGGAAACTGCCCATCTTTTCAAGCAGAGCCCCTGGTGGATTCATGCCGCTAGAGGGGTGCTGCCTTTAGGTCAGCAGCACGAATCCCTACTCATTAGGCCACCAGAGCTCTTTAATATGAACAAAATAACAT